CTTAGAAACCTTTTACTTGTTATTCGAAAGAAAACAGTCTGAGTAAAATTGCACAAATTCTCATTAAATATAAAAGGAATTGCAGTGAAATCTTGAACTGATTTATGGATGTTTGCTCTTCTATTGGTGTAACTGTGCTTTCTTCAAAATTTTGTAAACCATAAAAACATTTATTGAACCATCTGAGTATCTAGTAATTAATTTAGTGAATATTGTAACGGGTTCTTTTTTTAATTATATACATAGATATTTTGGGTAAACTTTTTTTAAGATGTGTGATTCAGCGTCTGAGAATTTTTGATTCCTACCTATGGACACAATGTATTTCTATATAAATCTGGAACTATGGTTATCATATGAGATTTTAGAAAGAAAAGTAATATTTAAATTTGCATTCTACCGAAGGAAACTTTTGCCTTCACCGCAGAACTGTGTTCGATCGCCTCACTCATGGATTTTATGTTTTCTAATTGACTGAGTTTATTATCCACTAATTTTTTCGAACTTTTTTCCACGTAAATAGCAATACCATTATGTAATAATCTTTTGATCAATTCAGGACGTCAAATCATGGAGAAATTTTCAGAGTTGTTATGTTGTTGACTGAAGCGTTGATGAGCTTAGGAAAAGAGTACATTGTTGTGTGATATTGTGCGGGACGCTGATGAGAAAGATTTCTAAATTGTCAGATTTTATTTCAGTTTATTGGATAATCGTTTAATACAAAACAATAAACGAGAGGTATGCGTTTGAATTCTCAATAGTTGCGATGTAAGTATACAATGGTGCAAACTTAATAGGAGTTATAGAGGTAGTTATGGAGCGGGAAGGCATCGGATGCATAGAATGTGAAGCATCAGCCAAACTGTAAACAACTGGAAGGTGTTGATTGAAAATTGAATCAGCAAACAGATACATATCTTGAAATGCTATTCAGATAGCCTTTTATTGACGAGATTATTTAGACAACTGGAACAGCAAGTCCGGTTAGACCGATGGCACAAATGGATAAATTTATAAGCTGTCTTCTAATACTGTTAAACAAAGGTTTGGCTACTGGGTGAGATGAATTGCATTCTGGAAGCCAGTGTTCATCCATTTCCATTTGCCAAATACAAACTAATTAAATTATTGAAAACATAAAGGAGAGATTAGCGCGTTTGAACGTTGGCATGACAGCATTGAGAAAACGAGTCGGTGAGCGAACAATCGTTTTTGGGTTTCCTTAGTCATACATACATACCTAATGACAGACATTGGCTCAATTTAAGGTCATTAATTGGGGGCAGAGAGTAGAGAGAGGGTGTGTATGTGTGTAAGAACGTTTGGTAAGTTAGTTGATATGGGGAAGGTCACCTTTCCCCTCCCTCGCGGGTCAAGTGACACGTCACGGTCTGTTTCGCTTTTCGCAACAGGTAAAAGCAGTTGAAGCGTTCGAACCCTTCTTTTTGAGGCACACAGTTTGGGGCCTAGTAAGCGAAGGCAATCGTCTCGGCCATGATTATACCTTTTCAACTCCAAGTGAATCCAACCAATCTCAGCCCACTGGAAACCCCACAAGATGGTTGATTTTTCGGCAGTCAAACGTCCCCGATTGGACCGGGTCTGCGTAAACTCCGTTCAGTCCAAATGAACAAACAGAAGAACTTTTTGAGTAAGTGACTGAGTGACGGTGGGGTGGAATGGGCCCCGCCGTTCACACAGATAAGGTGTTGCGTTATCTCAGTTATTAGATAGTACCACCGGATGTTCATGAAGCACAACCAAATACGTTAGACTGCTCATTCAGTTAAGGAAATCTTACAAACTGAATGAGAAATCGGTCGAACTTATTTGATTTCATTATGTTGGTAACCGCGTCAACCATCGTCGTGCTTTATGAACATATGTTGATACAATCTAGTAACTGGGATGACGCAACACTTAACCTGTATGAAGGGACTGGACTGGAAACAACAAAACAGTCAAAAGGGATTTTGGTAGCATTAAGTATGTTGGTTTATTATTAGGAAAATGTGCTATAGTTACTATGAGAAAGAGGAACATTGACAATTTAGGTTAATTGTTCAAAATATGATAGTTATCGATAGATGACTTTACTTACCTAATACTTATATGAAAACTAGGTAGCTGGTAGTAAAATCTATCCACCATTCTCGAGTAACACGATGTCAAAGAACCTCAGTATTCCAAGCTTCAGTTTGGTATTAAGCATTTTACTCCATTAACCAGTGGGTTCTCTCCCGTGGTTGATTTTCCAGGTGGTTAGTGAAATACAGCATAATTTCCGTGGCGCATAAGGCATATACTTAATTTGAGTTGGGATGAAAATTAATCTGAAAAATTGAAACAACACTCCGGATCCACTGGTATTATTAAGTCACCAATATGATCGTAAAATATTCCCACTGATGCATAAGAACAAAGTAGCAACGGGATGAAATTACCTTTCGATAGATAGCTTTATGCATATATATATATATATATAGTTTCATTAGCCAGTAGGTTAATACAAGGCTTAAATTGGTAGTGAATGAATGTGTGTAAAATATTCAGTTGACAATAAGCTATCGAATCACGATAAATGGATAGGGCAAAGCAAGTTGAAATGTGTGAAGGGGACATGATATGGAAGGTGCTGGTCATGGAAGAATAGAACAGGTGTGAAAGTTTGAGAAAAGGACAGCAAATGAGGAAAGAGGAGAATATAACAGGTGTCACGTAGGAATATAGGACAATCACTCTTGTTGCCATGGTAACAGCAAAGTTTCCACTTTGTTCCTACTGATATGACACATTATATAATAATCTGTTCGTACCATACCCGATGATTCACTTAACCAGAAACACTGTTGAGAAAGGTTTTTAGCTGCGATTCAGTTGCCTTGTGTTCGATTAAACTGTGCTAAATGGCAATGGGTGATCACAACTCTTTCTGTATGGTCTCTGTATCTGGCGCGGAAAGCCAACCGCTCTGTTTTGACCTTTGTGTGTTCCTTAAAAACAACTTACAGTTGTCAATCATTGCAAGGTGCAGTTACTAGTAATCGTATAATCAACCGTCTCGATCCTTTAAAATGAAAACAGTCAAGCTTGTATATGAAAAAAATGCACAATATTGTACAACTGGATTGGTTCAGAGTGAAATAAATATAATTCGGAAGGCGCCAGTGACGAATAATGTTAAAAGGTTTATCTTCCACTGCCCAACTCAGCTCAGTTCAGAGTAGAAAAAAAGTCACTGCTTTCCACCTTCGTGGTGGATAGCCCGTTTACACAATCTTTCGGGGTATCACTCATCTGGGAAATATACCTCAAAGTGGTCCCACTGGATTTTACTCAGTAGGATATTGAGGGCCTAGACTGAATAAACTCTTGCATTGACTCATCTCAACATTCACGTTTGGGTATTGTGACCTATTTATCGATTTGTCTTGGTGTGAGTTGGTTTCTTAACCAACCGAAAGTGATCAGTCAGAAAGTTTAATGATCCCGAAATCCAAAATGCGTCATATAGTCAGCTATACAAACTTTGAAGTTTTCAGTGAATCTATTTCACGTTGGCTAATGGGGTTTGTCTATCCTGTGTTCATCACATTGCTCATGACGCAGGCATCAAATTCTTCCTTTCCGATTAAGTTTTACCCCTGTCGTGTTGATTTCGTTTCTTTATGTATGACCGAATTTCAACGCCTCACTGTGCTTTGCAGACGGAATAACGCTTGGTAAGTGTGCATACAGATTGGAATAAAATGAGTAGATATGCTACCTGACCGGTATGGTAATCGAAATATATAGTGGCTCCTAGGTTATTGGTTGCTTCTTTTCTCTGGATAACACAGTAATTATCGTTAAATGGCACGATCAGAAAATCAAAGACCAAACTAAGTGGTAAAATTTCAAAAGTAATTTTGCATTTTCAAGGATTTGAACTAAATTTTGGAATAAAGAATGTTTATTTAATCACACGAGATCCATGGATAGAACGGATCTCACTGAAAAACTTGGGCGTCGTGCTGATGATCATTGAGGAAATTAGCTTGTCTTAGCCACGACGAATGAAAACCAAAACACAATGCCGTTAGTAACAACGTTTCGACTCTCTTGGAAGGCTTTTTTAATTTGACTTAAAAAAGGCATTCCAAGACGGTCGAAACGTTGTCACTAATGCCATTGTGTTTTGGTTTTCATTCGTCGTGGTTAAGACAAGCTAATTTCCTGTGTTTATTTAAAACCAGCTTAATACAACCTTGATACTCAACTTCAATATTCCAATCGCACGTTACACATAGTTTTTTCAGGTAAGGGACTTCAGTTGAAAAGTATATGGACCTTGGTTTTTAAATCCGTAAGTCTTCATAAAATAAGTTGTGGTAAAAAGAACTTTCAGGTTGCTTCATCATCATCTTCGCATTGATAGCCTGGTGCTGACCGATTATTATACTCTCATGGATAGTTCAATGGAAACGGACACCACTTTCGTGACCGAGGGCGAATAACTTTCAAATCTGAGTTGAAAATCTAGAGAGCCAGTTCACAGGGTCACGAAGCTCAGAATGCAAAGCTCAAAGTACATTCCCAAGCATTATTCCAATAACTCCCCAAGGGGGTCGTTAGAAAAGCTGTTGTTATTTTCCGGCAAAAATGATTGGTTGTTTGTATCCATTCGTTCATGACAACAGTGATGACATAATTGACCATAGTATTATTGATACTCCATTGGGTTTTATTTATAAGACTTAAAGATATTTTATGTCATTGATAAAAAAGAAATCGGGGTCAAAGGGCGGCGAAGAATGCAATCCAGATTGACTGACTTTTCACTCTGAACTCCTTTGTTTCAATCTGAGAATTCAGGTTTCACCATAACTTCAATTTTGCCCCAATTCAATGAAAAAGAATAAAAGGATAGCGCTTGATTTTGTCAAACCTGTTCGGTTTTTTTTTAAAAAAAGATGCTTTCACAAGCACCCTGAATTGATTACTATTTGAATTTAAAGGTCTTGATTGGCGCGGACGTAACTTGCTCCATTTGGCTGTGTTATACAGACAAAGTTCAATGTCTCTCCGTCTCGTGGATTTGTGTCCCAACCTGGCTGAGTCAAAAGATAGCCTTGGACGTACTCCGTTACACTATGCCATTTGTTTGCCAGACAATCGCAGCTTGTTTCTCAAAATGGCGGGACAGTTGAACGGAGTATACAAAGAACAGAAAGATTTTGTAAGTGATGCGACATTTCCATAAGTGTAACAGAAAATGAAACAAAAACAGTATCAGTATTTGGGGGGATGGCAACCATATTGAGAAGATTAGGTTGTTAGGCTCATTATTTTGCTTTCTTTAACGTGGATTTGTCATTTTCAATCAGTGTTCTAATATCTAACTTTGGGGATATGAGCAACATTCCTACATATCTTAGTAATCGAATACGTATTCAACCAGAACAAAAAGAGCAATTTATACTAACTGAAAGCCATTGTTTACTGCACGTCAGTAATACATTATCTTACTGATATCATTAAATATGTTGAGCTCAACTGGAACTCCCTTCACCAACTCCCGCGTTTCAGAATTGCCTGGCGCAAGCACACAAAGATTATATATATGTATACATATAAGGTCTGCAGGAAAGTTCTGTCCGTTTTTTGAATAAAATAAATACAGTTTATTCTTACCGTCAATAAACTTTATAAATAATATAAAGATTTCTTTCCAGCGTGAGAGCAATTTTTATATCCTATTTTGATGCGAAAAATTGAACGTGTGTTTGTTTGATATCTTCATTTTAGAATACTTCCCCGTTCAAAAAAATGTCTAAGGACAAAAACAAGTGATAATCAGAGGGCACTACGTGCGAGGAATATGGTAGATGTGACAGAATTTCCCAGCGTAGTGCTGCAATATTTCGACGAGTCCCCAAAGCAGCATCGTCCTGATGCAGTATATGATGATGAAGGCAATGAATCCATGAATAGCAAGCAGGCCTAATAAAATGGGCCGCAGTGTTAGAACAAGTGATCGGATAAACAACATAGATAACATGGACCAATGAGCAGTCTGTCCGGATAAGGTCACGCAAGTACACGAGAGATAATAACTGTGCTTGTTGCTGTAGGTAAGACGATCGCATACATATAGGCATACAGGAAAGTAGTAGGTGTTGGCTAAGCCTTAAACAAGTAAGCAAGATGAAACAAATGATGAACAGAATATTATTCCGAATGTCGTTTGGCAGATTGCAGTTTTTTATGTTGAGATTGTGAAAAGTACAGTAGCCCCGGTGGGATTCCAACCCACGGATGGACACGACACGCTCCGATGAATTCTAAGGAAAACCTTTCGTGACAGTCAGCTTACATGCCAACTGGTGCATGCTATATGCCTCCGTAAGCTGGATGGGAGACTCGAATGTGAGAAGAGCAGTCCTATCGGTGTAGCCTCGTAACCGAACTGACCTTGACGCCGCATTATTTAAGATTTTGTCGTGAGTAAATTTCTGAGAATTGTTTTAGTGTGTATAGACATTTTCAGCGTATTTTTACATCCAAAGTGTCAATTTAGCTTTAGTGGTACTTTATCAGTGTACCGTTGCTCACTCATATTCAAACGTACTCGTATACTATCAGATCCGAAGAGTTTCCGACTTTTATTAGCGTATTGATTTGCATTTGACTAGTCTGATACGGTACTGTTTTGTTCATAGGAAACTAATAGTACTGAGAAAAATGACACACAAGGAGAGTACAGGGCTCTCTGGGGCCAGTCCATATACTGAGTCTATGACCGAGAGCATAGTGTGTGATAGATGCCGCTGCTAATATCAGCAAGCTTACTCTGGGCTGAGCAAGAAAGATTTCCAGCTGCATACTGTTCACAAATCCCTCAGATGGATATGTTGGCATTGCGTTGCCCTCGCAGATGAATGCTCACGAATCCTCCGGGATTTTCCGAGCTATTCTTCCACGGATGGACCAAACGCGAGAAGGACCTCCCTTGGAAAAGGGCACCAAGGAAACAAAAGGCTTCCAATGTTCCTAAAACCAGTAGTAACGGAGCAAAGAGCGTAGAATTACGGAGCACCTATAGAGGAAATGTGGACCGAGGAAACTGGTCACACAAGCAGAGTAACTGCGATCAACTTGTAAATAAAGACGCAGTTGGTACTCCGAAAAACAGGAGCTCGGAAACCGTGGTAGGTAGCCCGAGATTCACAGTATAGAAGAGCGGCCAGTCCCACGACCAGAGGGCAGCAGGCTGGACCTCTGACTGACCTGCAAATATATAAAATATTTCAATCAAGGTACCCCGTGGAATCGCGAGGATACCGTTGGAGCCGCATCACCCGGGGGAAAGAAAACATCCAGTCCCTCGGACCCTACGTCCGAGGGCACAAACGAAATACCAGGTGTAGTGGAACCTGAACCGCAGACAAGTGAACCAGAGATTTGGTACACAAATACTTGCAGCATCCAAGGGAAATGGGGGAATTGGCCATCAGAGTAACATGGTGTGCAGTAGCTGCCATCACCAAAACCTGGTGGAGTTCTAATAATGTAGCTACACAGAATCTCCAGACACAACAAGACGAACGGAAGGCCGTTTGGTGGGGCTGCCATTCTAGTGCGTCAAGATCATAGGAGTTGGGAGGCTCCGTTTAAAATGGACTCCGACAATATCCAGGTCCCGCCCTGTTTCCTAACAAAATTGTATGCATCATATGTGTTCATAGAGGCCCCTACGACAGGGGACAGAAGAATGAGGACCTACTGAGAATTCTACAAAGTGTACTAGCGAGAACTAGGAAGTTCGTTATTCTGGATGACTTCTACTTTCCGGTCATCAACTGGGAGGCTGGAAGCGCGCCCAGAGGATCCACGGGTGAGGCATTCCTACAATTGTTGCAATTGCATGAGCTCGTTCAACACATAAGGCTGGCTACAAGACACCTAGGGGGTCGGTCACCCTTACTACTATATCTATTGATCACAAAGTGCACAAAGACATTAGTGAATTGAGGGTTGAGGTACCTTTCGGCAAAGGTGATCATGCAGTATTGCAGGCCTCACTTTCCGTTTACAAAATACTGTTTCCTGTAGCCACCATTAGGTGCTACAGCAAGCTAAGGATAGAAGAAATAAAAAAGACAGTGGTAGCAATGTGCTGTGTACCCAACCAACGGCACCCTACCCTGGAAGAAAGATGGGAAGCAATTAAAAACGGACAGTGAATTTCGTACCCCTTAGGCTATCCAGAGATTAACGGCAACCCCCTTGGTGGTGACTGAGAGTAAAGAGGGCAATAGCCACCTGTTGGAAAATATGGGCAGCGCACGTCATGTACTGCACCAGTCAGACATACGATAGCTACAAGCGGGCCCGTAATAAAGCCCAAGCGGTTCAGAAACAGAAGAGGTTCCGTTTCAAGAGTATGTTAGCCAGGTAAGCAAAGGTGAATTAAAAAGGATTATTTGCCTCTATACAACACAAAAGGAAAACGAGGGAAAATGTGGCTGCACTAGAAGGTCTGGATGGCCAACTGGCATCAATAGATCCGGAAAAGGCTAGGACGCTCTTGGGAACTTACAAAGGGATATATCGCTCCCCACTGGAGACCCAAGATAACCCGGACTAGCAGGGAAGCTACAACTTGCCGGGTATATCTGAGCTGTCGGTGAACGAAGAATGTGTCAGGGGAGAGCTGCACACCCTATGTAAATACAAATCCCCTGGGCTAGATGGAGTCCATCAGGTGGTAGTTCAACCACTGGCCGAAATACTAGCTCTGCCGGTGAGTTTGCTTTACGCGGCCTCATTCAGTGAGGGAAACCTTCCTGGAGAATGGAAGACGACAACAGTGGTTGGTATATAAAGGGAGGTGCTGGTCAAAAGCCCACGAACTATAGGCCAGGAGGCCTAACATGCGTTCTATGCAAAGGCTTAGAACGTATTGTGAGGTGGCAATTATGCGAAAAGCGTGTGGTGCACAGAATAATAACTCCCGCGCAGCACGGATTTGGTAGGCAAGTTAAATCTGACAAATTTGCTGCTGTTCTCAGACGAGGTGACCAGGGGACTTGATGAAGGCCTCACTGTGGAAGTCTGTTGCACGGATTTCTGTAAGGCTTTGGACTCGGTCAATCACAGACACCTGAACCATAAGATGCAAACTGTGGGCATCACAGGTAAGGCCAGGACCTGGGTCAATAATTTCATCAGGGTGAGTTGGCACTTACACTACAGCCCCTGTATATGACTCAATGGCTTACCCCAGGGGTCTGTACTGGGCCCATTGCTTTTCCTCATCTTCCTCAACGACCTGCCGGGGATTTGTGGAACCCTTGCTACCTATTTGCTGACGACGTGAAGGTGGCCGGCTTAGACCTTTATGAAGATATTCAGGCTATACTCTCCTGTTCACATAAGTGGGACCTGCCACTAAATCTGGCCAAATGTCAATGGCTAGGAGCAAGACGGGCAGGTATCCCTGACCAGATAGGGCACCTGATGGAGTTAACGCATGCCAAGGACCTAGGTACGATGGTCTCTAGTGCCTTCAAGAACTCCAGGCAGTGCATAGCGGCAGCCAATAAGGCTAGGAGTGAAAACTCTTTAGAATAAGGGCAACGATGTACTATAGAGACCCGCAGATTCTGGTCCCGTTGTATAAGGCTATCGTCCGGCCACATCAGGAGTGTAGTGTCCAATACCAACACCAACACCATACTTAGAGAAGGACCTGGATTGCCTAGAAAGAAAAGGTTAGCCCCCAAATGGTATCTGGTATCTGGTCAGAGACACAAGGAGTAAGAGAACGAACTAAAAGACATCAACTTGTTCTTCCTCCGACGCAGACGCATGAGGAGTGAGTTGATTGAAACGTTCAAAATAATGAACGGCTTTTGCGGGTATCAAAAGTGAGGAACTATTCT